TTTTTTTTTATTTTCGCTATTTACCCTTTTTCAGTGCTCTTGATCTTGGCCAAACTACTAGTTTACTTCCTAGTCTTCTTTTCATTATTTTGATATAACAATGTCATGTCGTAGGCTGATCTCCCTTAACCTCTCCAACCCTCATAGATGATGGAATTTTCATTTTCAGATATGAAGCTAGGCCTATGAACCATATAATAGATTAGCTTGGTCGATCAACTATCATATTATAGACAGATGGGATGTCTACAACCATAAATTCTATGATTAAGATAACAGTCTTCAATTTTGTCCCTAGAAAGATTGTTAGCTTGATTGTTCCTTTCACTAGTACCTATTCATTCTTAAATCCCACCAGTGTCGTAGTTATCGGTTGCAACTGGTTTTCACTGATTCTTATTTTTTTCATGGTCCTATCGTATATGACGTTGGTTAAGCTTTTATTACCAAACAAGATTCTCTTGACTACATAATTATATACTATAGCTATGATTACTATAGCATAATCTTATAGGTGCTAGATTCCTTTCAAATTTTTTGGGTTGAACAAGATCAATTCATTTTTCTAGTCTTTTTCTTTCTTTGTCAATGTGCCAATGGCCATGATCATGCCTGGATTGAATTTTTTTTTCACTAAGGTTGAACTGCCTCCTATAATCACATTAATCACTTTAGTGATCGACCTAATGTTATTAGTTTGGCCTTCTTCTCATCTCGACTCGGCTCATTTGATCGAATTTCTCTTTTTTCATTTTTTTCTAGCTTACCTTCCTTGACTTAAGTGGGCTTTCTTTGGTTTTGTCTATAATCCATTTTAGGTTGACCTTGTCTTTGCTGCTCTATAAACTTCCTTAACTAACTTCTCATAATCAGAGCTTTCATCTCATTTTTTGGGTCGACATAGTCTTTAGTATTATGACATGTGTCCCTATGAAAAGCATATCTTTTAGTTAAATCCCTTATTGTGTTTTGTCTCAGTGGTTTCAACCATCTAAGCTCTGAATTTCTTTCAATTTATATCAAAATCCTTCCTTAAGAGGTATTCAGTGCAATGTAGTTCCTTTCTCTACTAGGGCTTCTAGCCCTATGTCATCTTTCTTTTGAGAAAGAATCGTAAAAATGCTTGCATTTTTTTTATTGAAGAGGGAGGATGAACCTCTTTCATCTCGGTCGCCAATAAAGAGGGATGAGCTTCTTTCACCTTGGTTATTTCTTATTGTAGCTTCGGCATTTATATACTTTTCAGCTACAAGTATGACGTTGACCAGAGTCTTAAGTGGCTCTAGTGAAAGGTTAACTTTATGTGGTACATTCTGTCATTTGGTCCACTTGTTAGAGCAGCTATAATGGCTGTTTGCTCTAGGTCTTTCACTTACAAAGCTTTCATGTTAAAACTCGTGACTTAATTCTTTATAGATTCATTATGATCTTGGTAGATTAACATCAAACTTAAAGTTATTTTCTTCGTTCTTTCACTATTTACAAATTGGGACAAGAAGGAGTGGCTGAGTTCTTTAAACGTTGTGATTGACCTCAGTTCCAAGCTATTGTACTAAGATTGAGTTATGTCCTTAAGGGTGGTAGCAAGGCCCTTATACATCATTGCTTTATCTGCATCTTGCATCATCATATTAATCCTATAATGTTTCAAATGATCAAATGGGTCAAAAGTACCGTCATAGGTTTATAAGGTTGGCATTTTGAACCCCTTAGGAAGCATAGCTCTATCGATCTCTTCATAAAGGGCGAAGTCTCTAGAAATTTAAGTTTGTCCTCAAATGCCACTGTCTTTATTTTTAACTTTTTCTCTATGGCCTGCATTTGAGCTTTCAGGTCCTTGTGTGGTTGGGGTTTGAGATTTATCTATTTAGATCTTTAGGTCGTGACCTGTGTCGAGTTGTGACTAGGGTAGTGACAAATTAGAGTGTTGTGCTCTTCTTCTTTGAAAGCCATGAAGGCTTTCATCTCTTCATAACTTGGTTGTTTTACTACGGCTCTTAGGCCATGAGTGATTAGGTCAGGCACTTTTGAATGTTGTAGTGGAGTTATGGTTTATAGCATTTGTTTAAGGGCCTATATCTGCTCAGTTAAAGCCTAAAATTGTTCCATGATGGGGTCAATTTATGGTGGGCCAAATCGGTTTGAATGTTGGCTATTATGCGTTTTCATCCCAGCTAAGACAACCGTCTCTCCTTCTTTTAAAGTTCTTTTCTTAGGTGGCATTGTTCGTGCTTGGTTAGCAAGTGGGAAAGGGCCCTTACCTTGTGCACCAAATATTTGTGCTAAATTCCAATCTAAGGGTGTTCTTGGAAAGATATAAAAGAAGAACAACTAGAGGCAAAAGTAAGGAGTGTTCCCTATATTTGCAGTCTAACATAAAAGTCAAAATGAATGAGGTTGGAAGGAGAGTAGTATGAGAAATTGGGGGTAGATTGAATTTACCTTAATGATGCCTGAATGTTCATATTTATAGATAAGAGATAGGGAACCATCAGGAGACAATAATGACGTAACCAAGCTGAAGTGACACTAAATATGTCTTGTCAGATTGACACAAATATCGAAATTATCCCTGACTGTCTGCTGATGGCTCCTAATGAGGAGAAAAACCACTATACACTTTTGATCACTAAATGCCCTCAACAAGTACTATTAGAGTTAAGCTTTTAAACTCCTAGAAGTGGTTTCACTTCATCCTTGCATAAATAATCCCATTAAGAATGTTCTCGTAACCACAACACTCTAACTAATTTATATTATGGATTTATTAAAAGTATATTACTCATCATTCTTTTATTATTATGGGTATCTAATGCTTTACTTAGGATGTAATTAAATATTTTATTATAATGCTAGGAGTCACATACATATGATATACTTTGTCTCATTGAACTCAAGATTTAACGTGAACTTGAGATACATCCACTCTGAGGTCTTTTTTACCAAGTCTCTAGTACGAATTTTGGTAAATCTGGAATAGATGACTTTTGTGCTGCCTCGGTTGCAATGGTGAGTTTTGAGAAATCCAAACTATTTGTGTCTCCTAAAGCTACTTTTGGGAGTGCCAGAAGGGTGACAAGAACTTTGGGTATTGGTCTCACCAGTAATCCAGGAAATATCTCGTTCATGGAAGAATAACGAAGAAAACTTATCAAGAAGGTTTGGAGAAAGTCAGTGGTCGCTTGTTATGATGGAAAGCAAGATGCTTGAGGCTGGCTTGAAAAGCTGCTTTAATTAGTTCGGTTACTTCCGCAATACCATCATGCCATGTAATGAAGTTTATTTTGCCAAAAGCAGCAAATGGTTCTATGGATAAGCAGAATACAGAACGGAGATAAGACAAGTGTGCATTTCGTTAGTTGGAAGTCCGTTTGCAGGCTTAAAGCACATGTTGGTTTAGGTTTGCGTTGCATGAAATGCGGAATATAGTTTTTTAATTCAAAAGAATGCTTGACTATTGTTAAATGAGCCTGACAGTTTTTAGGTCCCTTTTCTCAAGGCTAAATATGGCGTGAATGGAGATATAATGAGGTTTGCTACTATGGATTGATGGTTGCTTGTAAGGTTCTAATAGATGGGTTGCAACAGAGAGTGGACAATGGCAATTCAATTTACTTTTGGACTGTTTGTTGGCTTGAGAATTCTCTCATTGATCAAATCATAGTTTGCCAGACTTTATTGATTGGTGATTATTTGAATGATCAAGGGGGATGAAAATAGGAATTAATCTTTGTTCATCTTCCAATGGAGGTAGCCGTTAAAGTTTTACTTCTACCCCTTCCCAAACTTAAAGCTATGGAAGGTGGATTTGCAGGTTCACGTCATATGGTAAATTCACTTCTAAGTCTATCTATACTGCTGCTTTTTGGTTGGTTCCTGAGGAAGTGAGTCAAGTTTGGATTGGTTATGGAAATTATCTGCACTATCAAGGTGGCTTTATTTTTTAATGGTTAGCAAGGAGAGGTAGATTACTTACCAACCAACTTAGGTTTAATTAGAGTTTAGTTTTCTCATAGTGCCGCTTGTGAGTTGTGAGGGGGCATGGAGGAGATTGTGCTGAGATTACCCAAATATGGAAGAGTATTATGTCATCGCAATATTGGCCTGACTTACCAGGGATTGAGTGGATTGATCATAATTTTCATGGAAGTGCTGACAAGTTTTGCTTGTGAAAGGATTGGCGTTGCATTTTTATTACTTTCATTTGGAGGCTATGGACTAGAAGATGTAATTTAGTATCAACTGCGATTGAGAAATCTGTAATGAGTAGTTCAGATTTGGTTTCTTATTACATCTTAAAGGGTGCAACAGAAAGTTTCTTTTCCAAGGAGACGACTTTAGTTAAAAATTAATGTTTGGTTCGCCGATCTGCTCCGTATGAGGGTATGGTGAAATTAAATACTGATGGTGCTTTTCTAGGTAATCTAGATATAGAACTCATTTGGGCTTATGTCCAAATCAATATTATATATAGTTGAATTGCTGGCAGTAAGGTTTGAATTGCTTCTTGGTAAGAAGGCTTTAAAAAAGTGGTATGTGAGTTAGATGCTAAGGCAGTTATCGACATTATTCAAGCAACCGTTATGAATGTCCATCCTCTTGGTTGTATAATTGTAAATATTCGGAAGCTTGCTTGTGAGTAGGCTATAACAGTATATTTTTCAGCATATATTAAGGGAAGGCTTGTGAGATGATTGTGGATTATGAGATTTTTTAATCTCTTCTGAGTTTTGTTAGTTCGCTTTTTCAACCGATGTATAGGGAATGACTTTCCCTTGAGATTTTATAATGTCTTAGATTTATTTCTTTCCCTTCGAAAAAAAAAAAGCTTAGATATATTTAATTTTGTTCTGGTAAGTGATGCTTCTTTAACCCCTACAATAATAAAGAATCATAAACTTTTTCCACACTACTCATTGCCACTTCAACCAAGCATAAAAAAAAAAAAAAAGAAAATGGATCAATTACTAGCGCGATCAACTCTATATAATTCAGCTCAACTTTGAAATTTCAGGTTAATTAAAGAGCATTGACGATGACAAAGAAAGGATTTTTGTTACAAAATACTACTAATATATACAACATATTAAACGAAGAAAATGGTCATAGATATGCTATATGAATGAATGATAAAAAAAAACTGGCATGGCATGAACAGACCATGTAACTCTTACATTTTACAACAAACTTTGATTTGTTTGGATTCAGCTATCAACATATTTGTCAATGGTAGCAGCCAAGGTAGACTTGGGCACTGCACCAATGACACTCTCTTTCTTCTCTCCATCCTTGAAGAACAGCACGGTCGGGATGCTCCTGATTCCGAACTGTGTGGCAATGTTTGGACTATCATCAGTGTTGAGCTTGTAACAAGCAATCTTTCCAGCATATTCTTTTGCTAATTCAGCGATAACAGGCTCAATCATGCGACAGGGTCCACACCATGGTGCCCAAAACTCCACCAAAACTGTAGTTTCACTACCAACGACAAGCTCTCCCCAGTTTGCTTCCGTCACCACTTCAACTGCGGAGTGCAGAATATGAATCTGATTCTGGCAATAATTTAATTTACTACCAAATATTATTTAGAAATCTTGCCTACTGACCTTCTTTAGACTTAGGCAATAAGGCAAGAGAAGCTAAAAGAAATAGGCATATAGCTGCATACCTTGATCAACAGCTTCACGAGCTTTGCAGATGAGCCTGGATTTTTTGCATCTGCCATTGAATGAATGACCAGAAGGTGAAGATGAAGTAAATGATAAATTGGGTTTATTGAACCCTCTAAATGTCGGCAAATGAATCTTCTCAACAAATGAAAAATGATTGTAGCTTTGCAGCACACGAGCTCTAGTTGTGCAAACTGAGCTCAATTGAAAACAGTTTTCCAGAGCCATCTCTAGCTCTTCAGTCTTCCCTGAGAATCCTGGAAGGAATTGCAGGAGTGATTTTTTCCTTGGGGCCTATTTTGAAATTTCTGGCCTAATTTAGACGTGGATATTCTTTTTAAAGAAAATAAAAATTGTGAGGTGCTGTAAAGAGTACAAATTCGTGTACATTGGTTGACCACAAACTTCCCATCCATTAACCATAATATAGGCCCTACGTACATTGGTAGGCCGTAGGCCCTCAGCTATGTACGGGCAGATTGAACCATTCAACTGTGGGCTTTTTAATGGGCTCGCATCACTGAGCATGTCCAATTTAAGCTTCATCTTTTCATGACATGTACAAAATTAAATAAGACTAGATTTTCACCCGTATTTGTTACGGGATAATTTTTATTTTTTAAAATTATATTTTAAATATAAAAAAGTAAATTTTTTATGTTAAGTTTTAATGAATGATGATATATAAATAAATATAAGTGTATTTATTTTTTAGCATAAATTATAACTTAATTATATATAAATATAATTTTTTATTAAATTAAGATATTAAATAATATTTTTATTAATATAATATATATAAATTAAATAAATAATAAGATATATATTTTTATATATCTTGAGCAAGATCGAGACAAAATACTTTAAATTCGAACCTAACTTAATTCAAATTGTACAAAGAAACAAAATCTAATGCAATCTTTATATAGAGAAAAAAAACAAGCCACACCAATTAGATTATGGTGATAGAAATTGATCGGATATAAGTTATTTTGTTATATTTACATTCATTAATTTTTTGTTTACAAAATTTTTCTTATAAATAAAATTTTAAAAAAATAAAAAAATCACATGAAATGGCACATGAATTTATTAAATTAAAGTATTAAATAATATATTTTAATAATATATAAATATAAAATTAAATAAAATATAAAAAATTATTTTTTTATATATATCAAAGTTACCGTGTGATACCCAAAACCTTATTCTAAGTCGAACTCAATTTAAAAATATAATTCAACCCAATTATTTGGAATTTTAAAAAAAGGTACATTAATTGGATCACAACTAATTAAAATCCATTAGATATAGATTATATTGTAATCCTTATCTTATTTGATCTTTTTTTTTTTTACAAAATTTTACTAATAAAAAGCAAAATTAAAAAGGTTTAAAAAAAGCAAAAACTTTTAAAAATAAAAAAAAATAAAAAAAAGAAAAGAGGTGCCACATAAACAACCACCATGAGGCAAAACAACTTAAATCTATTCCCAACCAGACCCATTTTTTTTTTAAAAAAAAAAAGCTTAATTTGATCTCAATTTTTTTACAAAAAAAAATACACTTATGTTGGATTAGTACAAATCAAAAACAATTACATATAAATTATTTCATCATTCCTAGTTTTATTGACTTTTTTATAAAATTTATCTAATAAAAAAATAAAAAAATAAAAAAAGTGAAAAAATGATTTAATAAAAAATAAAATAAAAAATAAAAAAAGTAGAGAATGGAGGAACGAAGGTGCCATGTGGTCATCTTCTCCTTCATCCATTCTCTACAAAATTATGTATACTAAATAAATAATAAAATATATTCTTTTATATGTCTTAAGAAGAGTTAGGAGAGAGTATCTAAAACTTGATTTCAACTTGAATCATATTGTTCAAAGAGGCAAACTTAATCCAATCTCTTTTTTTTTTAAAGATTGTATTGATTGAATCATGACAAATCGAAACTTATTAGATATATATTGTTTTACCATCCTTACATCTATTGATTTTTTTCTTTACCAAATTTATAAAATAAAAAAAATTTAAAAAAACAAAGAAAATGACAAGAAAAAGTAAAATGAGAAGACAATTGAATTTATTAAATTAATATATTAAATATTTTTAATAGTAAATATAAATATATAATTAAATAAATAATAAAAAATATTTTTTTATATATATCAAACTTAAGACATACACTCAAAATCTTATTCTAGCCCAAGCTCAATTTAAAAAATAATTCAACCAAATTATCTCAAATTAAAAAAAAACGCACAAACTGGATAAAGGTAAATCGAAACCCATTAGATAAGTGTTATTTTGTAATCTGTATCTTAATTAATTTTTTTATTACAAAATTTATCTAATAAAATGCAAAAGTAAAAAAGTTTTTCTTTTAAATCCAGAAAAAAGCAAAAGATTTCAAAACAAAAAAAAAAAAAGAAGAAAGAAATAAGGTGTCATGTGGACACTCGAAATGAGATGAAACACCTTAAATTCATCTCCAATTTGACTCCATTAAAAAAAATCTCAATCTAATCTTGATTTTTTAAAAATAATGCACTTATTTTAGATAAATGTGAATTAAAATTAATTTAATATCGATTATTTTATCATTCCTTTGTTAATTGACTTTTTTTCTTTTTACAAAATTTACTAATAAAAACTAAATTAAAAAGTTAAAAACAAAAAATAAATTTAATAAAAAAATAAAATAAAAACAAAAAAAATGTAGGGAATAAAGGAAGTGAAAGGTGCCATGTGACACCCCCACTATCCTCCATTCTCTACAAAATCAATATTATGGATTTAATATGAATTGTTTAATATTTTTTTCATTGACTTATTTTACAAAATGTATCCAACAAAAATATAAATTAAAACTTAAAAAAATAAATTTAATAAAAAATAAAAATAAAAAAAGTAGGGAATAAGGGAAGCGAGAGTTGCCACGTGAATACCTTCAACTTCCTCCGTTTTTTACAAAATTAATATTATAGACTTATATATATATATATATTTTTAGGAAATTGGATGAATTAATAATTTTTTAATTTATGGTTCTCACATCTTGTCTTGAGAAAAAAAAATATTTAGATTTCAATGTCACATACAAGATTTTGACAATTTTATGATAATTTTTTCGGCTATGTATGGGTAGATTGAACCCTTTAACTATGGGCTTTTCAATGGGCTCCTATCACTGAGAATGTCCAATTTCAACTTCATCTTTTCATGTCATATACAAAATTAAACAAAACTAGAATTTCAGCCACCTTTATTCAAGAGAGATAATTTTTTTATTTTTTACAATTATATTTTAAATATAAAAAGTAAAATTTTTATATCAAATTTTAATAGATGACAATATATAAATAAATATAAGTGAATTTATTTTTTAATATAAATTATAATTTTTTTATTTAGATGGGGGTATAGCCGTTATAATATTTAATTATATATACATGTAGGCCTTTGTTAAATTAAAATATTAAATAATATTTTTATTAATATAATACATATATAAATATAAATTAAATAATTAAATTACAAAATATATTTGTTTATATATTCCGAGTAAAGTTGGGGCAAAACACCTCAAACTTGATGCTAACTTGATCCAAATTGTTCAAAAAGACAAAATTTAATGCAATCCTTATTTTTAAAAAAATCACATTGATTGGATCGTGACGAATTAATATCCATTGAATAGATAATATCTTGTGTGTTTTGAGTGCAAAGACTTTGTGAAAAATGAAAATTATTGTGTAACTTGCTTTTATAATTCTGGTTGTGTATTATGGTTGTTGATGAACTATCTTTATAGTATATTACGATGAGATCACATTTGTGAAAGATGAAAACTATACATATTTTGCATTGTATTCTAGGTGTGTATTGTGATTATTGATTAAATAGATAGTGTAATAATTGAAAAGCTTAATCATTGTAGGAAATTTAGTATTGAACTAGATAGTGTTTTGTGCATATTGAGACGAGATCACATTTGTGAAAGGTGAAAACTATTGTGTATTGTGATTGTGATTCTATTTGTGTTTTGTGATTATTGATGAAATAGATAGTGTAGTAACTGAAAGCCTAGTTATTGTAGGAAATTCAATATTGAACTAAATAGTACTTTATGCATTTTGAAATGAGATCACATTTATGAAAGGTGAAAATATTGATTATTTTGCATTATGATTCTATTGTGTATTGTGATTATTGATGAAGTAGATAGTGTAATAATTAAAAGCCTAAACATTGTAGGAAATTCAGTATTTAACTATATAGTATTTTATGCATATTGAAATGTAATGACTTTGTGAAAGGTGAAAACTATTGTGTATTTAATAATCAAATCTTGATGTTGTGAATTATTTGAAGTTGTCTTGTTTTAGTGAGCTATAAAAGTAAAATGTAATGATAATTTATTTTAAACTTTTTTGTAGGAAAATTATGCTACTACATTACCTTAGAAACATGGTGAAAACTTTTTCAATCATCCAAGTTTCGGTCCACATGCATGGATTGAAGCTATTCGTGGGGTTAAAGCTATGCATACTCATGTATATTGCTTTAGATTTACAGATAAATATAAAGGCCTCATTTACTCAAGTTAATCTATTGTAGTAGTAGGAACATCTCACTTTGTTTGTGGTCTATCATTTGTGTCTCCTCAGCCTTAGATATAAGAACAAATTAATGAGTTAAGAACTGAGCTGAGGGCTAAGCTTAGGTTTTACATAGTTCAAATGATGCAATTTATAAGGTTTAGACAATTTATGCTAACACAATTTCCTAGATTTGATGATAGCAATGAAGATTCTAGATTAGGAGATGCAGTAGTACAATGATTTTTTTTTTCGAATTTGTATGATATATTTTATGGATGTTATGGATGTTAAGGATGTTATGGATAATTTGGATTGTTTTTAAATTTATAATGTGAATTTGATATTTTAATTAATAATAATAGAATTTTTAAAAAATTACACATGCTTTAATTGTAATTTATAGGTTTCTTAAATAATTATAAATGGAATTAATCAAATTATTGATAAATTATAAACTTGGCAACTAATTGTACTGACAAAATTATGTCATTACCAATGGAAGCACTCTTTAGTGATTGATTATTAATCAATTACTGACGAATTTTGCTGATGGATTTTGCTAATAGATTATCAACACTTTTATTGATAGATTTTACAGACCGAATTACCAATCAAATTACTGATGAAATTATTTTTGATAGAATTTATCGATGGAAAATTTCGTCTATAATTACTAATGGATTTTATATATTACTGACAAAATATTATTATAAACTTGT